CACACCTCTCTGCCACCCTACTACACAATGTTTCAACCACCACCCTTCTAGTAATTGGACTTACTAGTTCAGCATTGACTTTAGAATAAAAGTTAAAATAATTTGTAGAAGTGCACCGATACATCTGTTCAATATTGGATTGGCACTGATATAAAGAAAATTGGAAATCATCCTGAAGTGGCCAATAATTGATTGTGCATGTGCACAGCATGCAGGTAGTGAGCAGCATAAGCCCAGCAGCTTGGACAGCTGCATCCAGCTGTTAAGTCTGGTGTGGTGGAAGGGGAAGGGGGAAAGAAGTGGCATGGGTGGGCAGACCTCTGGCCCCTGAGGCAAGGGAGTGTAGATGTATGCCCCCTCAGGTGAGGATAGGTGCTGCCCAACTGGGTTGAGCATGGGACAGAGCCATAGCTCATCCAGGTGCAGGGGGGAGGGGCCAGCTCCTACTGCTGTGCACCACTCATCTGGCAGCTCGTCCCATCGCTGCTTCAACTGCTCAGCCCCAGCTCGCAGCTGCAGCCCACCCTGCCACGCACAGATCCGGGGGCACACTCGCACGCTGCCCACCCCCAGACAAGCAGCAGGAGCCACTGGATGAACAGCGTGCAGCAGCGGAAGCCTCGCCCCACCCCTCCCCGGATGAGCTGCAGCTCAGTCCCGTGCCCGCCCTGTGCCTACCCATGCCAGTCCCACTCCTTCCCTCACCATGGGGGGGTGTTGATTTGTGCCCCCCAACAGACTTGCCAGCTGGACTCAACGGTACTGGAAATCAGATTGGTATTGGCCAATATGCCTCCTTAAAAATCGGCTATTGGTACTGGTCCCTAAAATGTTTAATTGGTGCATCTCTACTAATTTGTCAATGATACGCCAGAAATCAATAAAGCCAACATAAGCGACACTGGGCTAAAATGAGTTTTCACTGCCTATTGAAAGAATTTTAACAATGCCAAGATAAACAAAGTGCAAACATTTCCCTTTTCAAAATGTACTCACAGTTACAACTTTAAGTTCTTTCATAACATCATCAATGATTCCTCTTCGTCTCAGAGCTTTCATCAGATCATCTGTGGATAACTGCTGATGCTTGGGCGCTATCTCATCACGTATAGTCTCAGCAAGAACTTCTCGGATCCTTCCATGGACGTCCATCTAGAAGAGAAAAACTTCTGTGACCTGCTGTCCAATGCTCATTAGGATAGCATTATAGCATTCCTACATTAATCAATGTAAGTTATAACCCTCAATGAGCATTTAATACCATAGAGCAGTGGTGCTCAACTTTTTTGTCCAGTTGGCTAGCTGGGTAGAGCCTAGCTTATTTGTGGGCCAGATGCAGCTGGTGGACTCAATCCAGCATCCAGGATGAGTGCAGTCAGGCCCCATCCAGTCATGCAGGGGAGGAGCCCAGCCCTTGAAGGGGAGAAAGGGGGCTTGCCTGGACCCAGCTCCATGGCAGGGAAGGGGGTGCAGCTGAGCCCTAGTACACATCTGCAAGGTTTGGGAATTTGGCAGTAATGGAGGGTGGCCACGCTCTCCTGCCACCCAAATTCCTGACCAGCGGGGAGCCCTGCAGGCCGCATATCATGACTACCTGGACTGCAGGTTGAGCACCCCTGTCCTCAAACTACATGCTTCAAAGAGGCATGCCGGGATATTAAAAACATTACAATCCCCTAAGAACAAACTGCAGTGAAACAGGAAGGCAGCAAAAGGGCAGGATCCACTGTCACAAATGTGGAAGGAATTGGTCCTTGCTGCTTTCCTGGGGCAGAGGAAACCAGAGTAGCCCCATCCGTTACACAGACCACGGCCTTGCTGTTAGCTTTAACATCCTTATCAAGTGGTAGGTAGAAGGGTGCTCCTTTGGCAGCAGGTGCACAGCCAAAACCAAAAATAAACAAAACACTTAATGGAGCGCATACTAAAAACACCCCAGGGAAGCAGGATGCTGGCTGCCTTGCCTGAGACAGGCAAGGATACTAGGCCTACTGTGCTGTGCCAGAGCTGAGAGCAGCCTCCTGTGGGGTTTAGATGATAGTTTGTACAGGCCAGTTTGGAAAGGGAGTCGCCTGCCTGAGGTCGACCCCTGGAGGCCCTTGCCAGCCCTACAAGCACCTTGAAGGAGGCCAGATGGTGCAGGTGGCCAGAGGGATCCTTGCCCTAGCTCTTCAGGGGCTTCTCCACGTGGCCCCTCTGCTTCCAACAGCTCAGGCACAGCTGTCCACCACCTCGTGGGGCCTGAGACAGGAGCGCAGTGTGGCCAAGCGTACAATAATTACTGTATTCGTACAATAGTTTCAACCCTTCTGCAACAGAAGTCAGTAACAGTAAGTGTTCAAAACGTACAACCATTTCTGGGGCAGCTTGTTGATGCAGCACACGCAAAACCCAAGTCACTCCCAGAGAATCTTAACAGACTTCTGGGTTTGCAGTCAGCACTTCCTTACAACTGCTTGCCTTGAAATAAACAAATGCTTCCACTTAGATGACCCAGGTCTTGGTCACTCACTTACCCACTGGCACCTTAAACAGAGTAACAGAAAATAAATAATAAGAAGAAATATTTGCATCAACTTCCGTTTACGATAGCTTTTCAGCAAATACGATCATTTCGAGCTTGCAATACAATTATTTCACATTTAGGAGCTGGGAGCGCGTCCAGCGCCAGCCGGGACCGACAGCCCCGCGCCCGCGCCACCCGCACCCCCGGGACACCTTGGCGAGCTGCTGCCGGATGATCTGCTTCAGCTCCGAGGCTTTGTCCGGCGACAGAGCCATGGCACAACCCCGCACTCGCCACACGGAGCCGCCGGCAACCACCGCGACTAAACCCCGCTCTGCCCCCGCGCGGCCACGCCCCCTGCAAGCCCCAAACAGCCGTTTCTAACGGCCCGGCCAGGGCGGGAGGCTGCCTGCTCAGCTGCCTGACGGAGAGCCCCCGCCACCACCCGGGACTGGCACCCCCGGCTCAGCCCGCTCGGGGGCTCCGGCAGCCGCGCGGCTCCTGCAGGGAACAGGATGGGGACAGGCGCCACCCCGGACACCTAAGGCGCCGAAGAATGGAAGGCCCCCGCAGTGGAGACAGCCCCGCTCGGCCCCGGGACCCCGTGCTACCTGTCATGTTTGTGCCGTGCGGTGCCGCGGCGCGCCGCGACTTCAGAGGCTTTACGCTGCTTATGGTAACGACCCCCCGTCCCCGTGCTGCTCCTCCCCCACGGTCGTGCGGGGCCCCGCGGGGAGGGGAGCTGGAACACGCCCCGCACGGGGTGGGGGCAGTTGGCACGGGAGGGACCAACGTTCTCGACATGACGTCAGCGGGGCGCCTTGCTGCCTTACCCTGCGGGGCAGGGCACTGCCAAGGGGGTCCAGGATACTGGAAGTGGGGCAGGATCATCCTCACAGCCCACACAAGTTTGTTTTGGTGGACTACAAGAGAAACTAGAACAGTGGGTGGCAACGGTTTTGGCTGGAGCACCTAAAACACAACAGCCTCTGCTTGGCGGGCCAGAGGTGGGGCAGCTGCGAAGGGCCCGATCCTCATTGATGGCAGACACCGCACACATGCCTCCAGGCAGACCGCAGGGCAACAGCGAGGGTTGTGCTGCCCCAGCCCCTTCCTCACTATGGGCATTGAGGCACGCGTGCACCTGCTGCTGCCATGGAGCTGGGGCCAGAGCTCTTTGCAGCCTGCCCATGTCTGCTGCACCCTGTGGAAGGCAGCCAAGAGGATGCAACCAGCTGCTCCAAGCTCCCCAGTCCTGGTATTGACTCCACGGTGATGGCTGTGCACCAGGCTCTGGGTGTGCAGCTGGGAAGGGGTTTGGGGCAGCACAACCCAGGTCCTTCACCTGCTGTCCATCCCAAGGTGTACATGTAGTTGCCACTGCCACAGAGCTGGGTTGGGGAACACAGTGCTGCAGTTTGCGGCTTCCCAGCTGCCTGCCACAGCCAGCTTGGGCTCAGGGCAGCTGCAGCAGGTGGCAGGCACACTTCAAATAGCTGTGCTAGAGTCTGCAGCACCCAGCACTGGTTCTGTGGCAGAAGCAGCTGCACATGTGCTTCTGGGTGGATAGCAGGGGGTGGGGGCAGGGTTGCACTGCCCTCAGGTGTCTTCTCAGCTGTGTGCTGGAGCTGCGCATGCAGCTGCAGAGCTGGTGCTGGGGCTGTGGAGTCTAGCCCAGCTGTTTGTAGCCTCTCAGCTGCAGCTGGCCTGGCCTCTGGCCAGCTGCTGCCTGCCAGAGCCGGGGCTGCTTGCAGCCTTTTGGTCACCTGCCACGAGCAACCTGGGCTCTGGTTGGTGGCAGCTGCCTAGAGTCCAGGCTGGCTGTGGCGTGGTGAGGAACATGGCCTCATGTGCCATGCCCTGGCACATGTGCTGGGGGTTGCCGATCTTTGAGCTAGAAGCTTTGCTCCCAGGTGGGACCCAACACGCACACACCTTGACTGCCTTCCTTATGGGCAACTCCACAATTTTGAGGAGGGTGCAGATGGTGAGAGGCATTCTCCTGTCTAGCCCAACACTTTTTTTTCTCTAGTTAAAAACGAATAAAAAATTTTCCAAGCTGCTAGGCATCTGTGGGTGGATGACCTCTGTTTAAGATGGAAGGAAAAACAAATAGAAGTGCTTTGCAATAAGGGAAAAGCAAGCCACAGGGCTGTGGAAGAGGAGTTTTGTTAGCAGGAGCAGCCAAAAGACAGCTGGAGCAGGGGAAGAGCAAGAGAGTTAAAAAGAAGAGAGGGTCGTTAACACTTTGTGGAATGAACAGTTGAGAAGGGATCAGGTAGATGACAGTGAGCCACAAAGTCAAACGAATTTCCTGGGCATGCCCTGATAGAAATGCTGTCACTACCAAGCCGCTGGTTGGGTGGAGCAGACATCAGAGGGGGTGCAAATGCATCATCATTCTCCCTCTGGATCCATCCCTGGCTTTTCACATTTTGAGATCAAAGTGAAAGCAAAATGCAACTTGCCTGGAATTGCAGGTATCTGCTAGATTAGATGTTAAGTGTAAAAAAGATAGCGTGGCATTAGTCCCACAGTTGTAGTTTACAGGTACGTCTCACTGGGATACCTAAAACAGAATCTTGCCTTCTTGAGAATCTTGACCATGCGGCCAATGCTTCTGTCCATCATTTCTATGCCTGAGTTAAGGTTTTTTAGGCTGCAACTACAAACAGTCTGGAGGGCCATGGAATTGAAGAAGCATTACAGGGAATGGCTAACAGACTGCTAAATTACGGAAGAAAGGATAACTTGATTAGTAGAAGGTCGAGACAGTTAAAAAAAACAGATGGTCATTCTCACCTGTGGAGTGAAGGGAGTTGAGCTGGGGTGGTCAGGTAGATTATAATAAACTCCATTACTCCATCAGCAGCACCTGAATAGAAATGCCACTTCTCCTCCTTCTGCCACTGCTTTTAAATTTTGGGTGGAGGGGGTGCAAATGTGCTGCTGCCCAAATGCACGTCCCCGATCCACCCCTACTTCATAATCTAAAACAGTCGGGACCTGGCTTGGTATTAAATGAAAGTGCATTCTCCTTTTGCATAGCCGTAGGACAGTGGTTCTCAACGTTTTATACTTGAGGCACCCTTTGATAGACTTGGAGCACACTGTGGAAAATGCTACTTCTTATATTTCACTCATTTTTTGACCATGGCCAAATAATAGAGCAGTTCTTCTGTTGCAAAGAACTTGGAAAGACCACAACAGGCCAGAATCTTTTTAACACCATGAATTCCTATTTCAAATCTCTGGGTTTATCTTTTGAATTATGTGTGCATACCTAACAAAACTAACATTGCCTGGTACCCTACAGCACCTTTGAAAGTATGTCAAAGCACCCTTACTGAGAAATCACTGCCATAGGGATTCCTCCCAGAAAGCGCTCAAACAATGTCAGCATAAACTGACTATATCTTTGGCACCACCAGCTGCATCAACCATGTGGACACAGAGAGGGGTGACATTTTTTTCCCTAAATTCTTTGATTTTATTATAAATTGGATGTTAGGCGGCAGGATACTGGTAACTTTTCACTTCAATGTATCTTGCTGGTTCCGGCAAGATACACTTGAACTTAGTTCTGTGACTGTTGGATGAGAGTCGAGTTGAGCAGAGTAGAGCATTGTATAGCTATATAGGGCTGGGGCACATAATACATATGGTACTTTAAGGAAAAATGTGACTTCCCTTCCTTCCCCCCCACTCTAAGTTACTAGCAAGTCCCTGTGAGTATAATGCATTCATTTTTTTTAAAGAAGAAGAAAACTTCTTAGGCATACTTTCCAAAGCTGTTGACACCACAGCTCAGGTGGAGTTTCCCCTGATGCTTTCATCTTCATTAGCAAAAAGGTGATTTTTGAATTAATTATTATAGTAATTTTTTACTTGCCTGAGATACTGACCAGCATCCCATTTATCTTGGAGATAAAGGGTATACAGTTCCGAATTTACAAATCTTATGCTACATATTGGTTAGTATGGAAACACAATGTGAACAAATATGTGTTTTGAGATATGTAGAATAATGCCTCAGGTTTTCATATCCAATTTTAAAATACTGGATGGGAGGAGAGTTAATTAGGTAGTAATTAGGTCAAAGTTGAGGGGATTTTACTTGTTAATTTGAATAGTACTTTTAGTTATTTCAATTAAAATACCATAGTTGTATTTACATATTAAGTGTGTAATATCAAAATAACCATTAGGTGTCACTTTAAGTACTGACAGCTTCTGCATTGAGTTTTAGTAACTTTGTCACCTGTGAAGAAAAAACCCCCCTGAACCCTCAGTCCCATACTTAATTTTCTATGAAAGTAGGGCTACTTGAAGAAGTAAATTTTAATATATATTTGCAGGGTCAAGGCCAAAGTTTGTATTAGTAGGCAAGCCAGGCTGCTCAACAAATTACATGTCTGTCAAAACATGAAATGCTTCTCTTAGAAGTGTGATAAGTCTAACTAGTCTGAGGATTTAAGTCACTTAATTTTGGTCTGTTTCTCAGACCATCACATTTTATGGATAAACTTTACTGTAACTTACTAGATAAACTACAAATGTGTTAGTTTGACACTAAGTATCTTCTGTTGTTTCAGCCATCTGTATCAGTGGGAAATGTTGGCCAACTAGCGATAGACTTGGTTATTTCTACACTTGACATGCCTAAAGTGGGTTACTTCTACACTGATTGCCTTGTGCCAATGGTTGGGAATAATCCGTATGCAACAGCAGAAGAAAACTCAGCAGAATTGAGTATAAATGCGGAAGGTATGTAAAGTTATACCAGTAGTCTTTACAAGCTATTTTTCAGATGCTGACTTAGGCTGCAGTCCTGCAGTAGTCTATATAGAAAAACCTTTTAGTGAAAAGGGGTTCTGCACAGGTGCAAGGACTCATCCATGGGATGCTCTCTGCAGGATTGGGGTCTTTATTTCTAAAACCAGCTGGCAACCAGAAAACAATGAACTAAATTGTGTTAACGTACTCTGTGCCTTTTTATTTAATTAAGTTATTGTCCCGTATTCTGGTAGTGTCAATGTGATTGTTATAGCCATGATAGTCCAGGAATTATATGCATGGCAAGGATTTCTTAGGGTGATATCTTTTTTTTGGACTAACTGCATAGTTATCCTACATTATCCCACCTATGCAGTTGGTCCAATAAACAATAACACCATAAGAAATCCCCGCTTGTCCCATTCTTATGCATTCCAAACCAAGATTTCTACAGAAGTCAAGTGAAAAAAATTCTTTCATTAGGAGCTGTAGGAATTTTTGTCATGTAATCTCCAAATTGTGGATATAATTTTAAAGTCAGTTTTTAGACTGATGCTAGGAAGAGAGCTTCCACATTAGATTTCAGATTTGAAAGTTTTAACTTTAATATTAAAGAACATTTTTGGTGTCCAGTTGGCATATTTTGCTGATTCGAGGTTCAGTTTCACTATATTTCTGTCATATTTACCCCTGCTCTACTTGGAAAAAAAAAAGTAATCTATATACTCCTCTTACTTGTGTTCCTTTTTCCTGTCCAACTTTTTCCCTTCTCATTTTCTAATATCTTCAGTTCCTTTTTCTGTTCTGGTCATCAGATTTCTGTGGACTTTCAGCAGTAAAAACTGGAAGTCCCAAGGTAAATATTTTGATCAGCGAAAGCAGCTGTAAAACTAGCTTCTCTGGTTCAGCTGAGTCATTATGGCTTTTTGGCTGTTTTGTTCTTTTATGGTCATGCTTAGGGAAACTAAGACTAATGAAGACAATTGCAATATAAATCTGGTTGTATACTTTTATTTCTTTAATAACTGGAAGTTGTACTCTAGATCCCCAAGCTTTAATTATGTTGTATACTGGATTAGTCCCAACCCTTCTAACCCTAGAATATTCACTTTTTTTGTTGTTCTGTAACTTTTTTGTAGTATATTCATTACCTTCTCAGAAGCTTGTGGTTCTTCAGATTAGATCACCATTTATAAAGGTGTGTGTTTGCTTGTTTGTTGTTTTTCATTACATATGTTGGAAATGAATTCTGAATCAGAAAGCATCTACACTCAAGTTCTTTAGCAGTCCAGATTGATTTTAACCATCTCAGGTCCAGTACACTAAAATCAATTTTCTATAAAATTAATCTAAAAAAGTATTGCTAACTGTGTTCTTGCTTAATACACATCAAATAACAAGAAAGAAGTTGGAATTAACCTAACATCTTCTCTAATTGTTTGTAAGATGTTCAACAAACCAAAAACAAAGAGACTTTTTTAACCTCTGTCACTGATTGTATGACGTTGAAATTCTGGACTCCTAATAGACGATCAAAATTACATTGGGGTACATTTTACTCAATCATTGATGTCTCCAGGAAAGTGTCAGTATTTTTCAGACATTATGTTTATGGGAAAGATCTCCTTGTAATTGCTGCCTGTTTGTGCTATTTCTCTTTCCTAAAAGAAGTTATTTTCTGCTGTCATGATAACGGCAGAAATAATTTCTCTGTCCCTCTAAAACCTGAATAATGTGAAACATGGAGGATTTTGCCTTGTATACATGTGCTGTGTAGAGGCATAGTGGTTGTCATTAAAGTCAGCATTTACCACGCAAAAATAACTGAGTTAGCACAGGGGTTTTTTTGGTAATTCCTGCTGGAGGAAAATGCTCTGGATTTCTTAGGACCCAATCTAACTCTATAATCCTATCCATATCAGTGGGAATTGGTTCACTTTGGTACCACTGCATGAAAATTAATATTTTCATACTCACAATTTAATTCCAACACAAAACATTTTGGTTAAGTTGTTTCAGTTTGCATTAAACAACTTAACCATTAAAAAAAAAAAATCCTAAAGTAAAGACCTAACAGGCAGGAGGAAAAAATAGTTGAACATTACCTCGCATTGTTGCAAAATGTTACTCTCTTGTATTGTAGTAGTTTGGCATTTCTTAAAGATCTAATTTGTCATTCTTTTTCTCCATTTTCTCCAAAGAATAAATATATGTCCTTTTGTCAAACTGTTCTTTCTTGGGTGAAAAGCAGTAAATGCGCCAGAGTTATTCTTCTGTCTAGCAGTCATGCATACCAGCGTGATGATCAGCAGCTTCATGGGTATGTTTGTATGATTACTTTTGGTCATCTGATTAATATTTCTTTTCCATAAAGTTAAATGTTATATTTTCATCTAGCCTGGGTCTGATTGATTTTACTATGTTTGATATGCTCTTTTTGCTTTGTGTGGATGTGCGTTGTATAATATGTATGGAGTACTGTGTTCTAAGAGGATTCATATGAAGTCAAGACTATTAAAGTCAAATTTAAAAAATCTAGTTTCTCTCTGCTTTCCTGTCTTTCAGTGTAGATAATAAACCAAATTAACTTTTGCTGAGCTGTGGTCAGTTTAATATTCTGTTCTTTACATTAGTAGGGCACTGCAATGTTTAAGCTACAGGTAACGTGGGAGATGACAGTTTTTCCTTTAAAAAAATTGTTTTTCACCCTGAATGCTTTGTAATCCATGATAAAGATGATGAAATTGCTGGATTTTTTTCCAAACTACACATCTTAATGAAACACAATGTCCTTTAAAAGAGTTATAGGCTTAAATGATGTGCCTGTATAATCACCAGTTACACTTTGCATGCTTGTTTTTAAAACTGGCATTTACATTCACTCATCAAAGAATCCTTTTTCATGTTCTAGATTGTTGCATACCACAGGATTAAGTCCTTTGTTTTCTGATAGCAGACATACAGGCTAAGTCTGTGGCACTGATTTGACAGCAAAACAATTTCTGAAATGATTGAAAAGCTATTTAAAGTAGTCATAGCAAAGTATATCTTCCTAAAGTTAAGTTCAAGCCCACTGTAACCCAGTACAGATCAATTTAACAAGTCTCAATGAATTACTCAAACTTCAGCATCCCTGCTTTTCTGTATGTGACAGTTATTTGGACCTCAGGAGAAAAGGACTCTGCTATTCAAAAATAAAAATACAGTAGTTTAACAGTCAGCTCATCTTTTTCTTATATAACAGTAGCTGAAGGAGAAAAAAGGTACTTGATTGCTTTAGGCTTAAATAGGTACTTCCACCATGTACCATTTAGTTATCTTATGTGGTGGATAGCTGACTAGCTTACAGCATTTCGTAACCACAAATTAGCGTTTGGCCTGTCTGATAAAAGAAAACAATCTTTGTGCAATACTTATTGTGGGGTAAAGGCCCTTTATTGATTCCAGTTGCGTTCTTATACATGCAGTAACCCATGCACCATATACAGCATTCTTGCATTTAATGTATTTTTGTTTTTTTTCTCAGTACACCACTGAGGTATTTGCTCTCACCTACAATTCAGAAAACAGTTGGAGATCAGATGCAGGAACTAAACTGGAAAGAGATGGAAAAAGTAGCAGCTTACCCTGAAATAAACAATGCAGAGAAGGTTCTACATATCCCTGGAGGTGGCATCACAAAGTTATTGTTCACTGAGAGGTAAGCAAGCTGGCTAATGTTAGAAAGAAACACAAAGATATAAAACCCAGTTTTAGTCTGTAGGTACAATTTACATTTGACTGTGAATCTACTTCCTGAAAAATTAACATAATTTTCTTTTTGAGAGATGTTGTATGTGGTGCTTTAGAGAAAAAGCATTCTTTAGATACTCCCACAGGAGTTCTTCTGGAGAGGAGACTCATCTTCAGTACAGGCCTGTGATTGGGACAGGAGGTAGAGGATACAACAGAAAAAATTGGAAAAAAAAGTTGCATCACCCTGCTTAAAAATGGCTCAGATATGTATTTTGTGAATGGGCCTGTGGGTGATAGGAGCGGATTGCAATCAAGATCATTCATTTTGGTATCTGACTTAATAAAAAAATACTGTGTATGCTCGATTCCATGATGAAGTTCTCCCCCACTTAATGTGGTGGGGAGAGAAGGCCTGTGTCTTGGAGTCAGGTGCAGGGCAGTGTGGGGGTAGACCACAGCTGCAGCCTGCCCCCCAACCATTTGTACCCTCTGCATTTGTACCCCCCCCACCCCCTTTGCTGCCTTGTGCGCTCACACCCACCCCTCCTGGCCCCTCTCTACCCTCTCCCCACAGCCTCAGGTCCCCAACCCCACCCATTTTGCCATGTCCTGCAGTTTTCTCCAGCAGCTGGAGCCTTTCTCCA